CGGGCCCCTCTCCTCATCCTGGACCACTAAGACATGGGGGGAGGGGGTGGAAGGAGAGTGGATAAGGGTGGTGGGAAGGAGTGGGGAGCGCAACGAACACAATTCAAAATGCGCCGCTGCCTGGTGAGTCCCTTTCGCTCTCTAAGGCCCAAGCGAAATGGCTGGATTATGTAAGTAACATCTCACCATGTGCTTACCACCATCTGTTAATATCTTGGTACTAGAAAGTTTGGTGCCTGAGGCAAAGCCAGGGTTGGCGTGGAAGAGATCCATTTTAGACCCTCTTCCATAAGCATCCAGGATAGGGAATTTCCCTCTTTTTTGTTTTCCTCCCCACTGTGTAGGGGAGGGAGGGGGGAGAATTGTAAAGTATTAGTGGAAAGGTGATCCCTCAAACTATGTGGTTGGGGAGGAGAGAATTGCAAAGGGTGGCCTGAGGATTCGAACCTCAGGATTGGAAGATTGTGTTTGTCCTCTTTGGCTGGATTTGGTTTGGACATATCTAAGGCCTCCTCGAGGTGAGGGATGGGGGCGGGGTTGTGCGCGGTGGGGGGGGTACTTTCTTTTTTCGGGAGACCTTCTTTCCCACAAACCAACGCCACCACTATCCACCAATCCCCGGAAACCCTTCTAAGGTTTGTACTTCAAGTTCTACGGAGTGTTCGCTTCTGTTTACTTTGAAAGCTGTTGGTTAAACAAACATTACTCTGGAGGCTCATAAGCTGTGGGGTTCCCAAGAGAGAATCTCCGCAGCTGCTACTTGCTACTGATCTTGTGGCATTTCACTTTTTTCCCCCTTTCGGTTTTTTTTTTTTTTCCGGAACCAATTCAGGTTATAGATTTGGCTTTTCCCCGGGGCATCAGTGAATTGGAACTCCCTGGGAGAGAAAGACAGTCTGTGTCTCAGTACGGGGCCAGGCGCTAGCCCTAAGGGTTGGCTTTTCTTCCTTCCTCGCTATTTCCGTGTGTGTGTGTGTGTGTGTGTGTGTACACTAGCCCGAGTGCCTGTGTGAGTTGGTGTGTCTATCAAGATCACTAGGGGTTGTCTCCTGAAATTCACACCGATGCCTCTTGTTCTAGTAACGAGATCACATCGCAGTCCCCAGAAAGAATAAAACTGGGTTGGATTTTATGAAGTTTGGTAGTAATTGATGGTGTTTTAAATGATGCAGTCGCTTCCTCACTCCCATTCAGTTCAAGGAAAGAAGCAAGAGGGGAAAAAACACTCCACGAAATGCCAAGGTGAAGTTCATTTATTTAATCTGCAGGCCAAAGTGACACTTACTTTATTAGTGGTAAACAAATAAATTCATCAACAGCAAAGACTTCTTAAATTTGTAATAGACGAAACTTCGAAACTTTTATAAACTTTAAAATTCTTGAGGTGGGAAGGAGGGTGTCATGTTAAACCAATGTCTGCTTGTTTTCAGAGATAATCCCTATCTGGTCTTGTCTCTAGGCTTGCCGGACCCCTTCCTATGAAGAAAACAGATGGGAGAATCGTAGCAGATAGGAGAGGCAAGGGCCTTGTGCCTTGCTTCTTTTGGAAACAAGAACAGTAAGAATGTAAGAAACAGCAACTCAATTTGAAGAGAGAAAGGTTGTATTTGGCATGTGTATTATGTACAGTAAGGGATAGGGCAGAATTTCCACAAGCTAAATCCTCATGACAGAGGTTGCAGGCTCAGAGCTTTCTTTCTGTGTCTCACTCTTGCGGATGGTTTCGGTCTTCTTTCAGTAAAGCCTGCTTCTGAACAGCTAAGGCAGGCTACCGAACCGAGGAAGACACACAGTAGAGCAAACTGTGCCCTGCAGCAGGTACAGAGGTGCAGAAGGGGTGACTAGGTGCAGAATAGGTAACTGGAAGCAGCTGGAAGGAACAAGGAGAGGACAAAATCCATCTCTGACCCTTAAACCAACACAGTACTTAAGCCCCTCCACTGAGTTTGGTAAAGGAGTAGAGGCGGCCTCAGGAACTTTGTCCTCAGACAGTTCCTCGCGGTGAGTGTATGAATGAGTGGTGTGTGTGTGTGTGTGTGTGTGTGTGTGTGTGTGTGTAGCATGCATCTGAGTCTTCAGAACAATAGAAATGAACTTTTAGGCTAAAGTTCAACTAATTTGTTTCCGAGGGAAAAGTCCACATCTTAATCCTTTGGGGGAACCTGTCTCCCCTACTCCTACTCCTCCCCCTTCCTCTCCCTGTTGTTTCAAATGCCAGACTGGGCAGATGGCTTTAAGGTGTAGAGGGCACGTCTCCCTGACTCCTACCAGTTTCCTTGGGAGCTGGCACTGACTTCCATTTGGAATCTGAGATTCTTAAAGCCAAAAAAGAAGAAAGAAGAATAGAAAGAAGATGAAGAAGAAAAGAATGAAGAATACTATACAATGGGACCCAAATTTCTCCCCAACACACCAGATTATCTGGAAAATACCCGATAAGAATATTATAGGGTCCCTGTATCTGATGGGAATTCTGACATAATTCCTTCTGCACCCAAATCTAAACTCTCCCACCTCAATTAAATTGTTTGATAGAATAACGGAACACTGGAGGGGTGTGTGTGTGTGTGTGTGTGTGTGTGTGTGTGTGTGTGTCTACGCGCGCTCAAGATAAGGGCTGAGGTTTTATGAAGGCTGATTTTCCCCGGGATCTCTTTTTTCATCTTAGCCGAAGAGATTTAACCTGGCCGGTTTGATTTTTCTTCTCCTTTCCAATGTTTTAATTCTGTGCCAGAAAGTTTCCTGCGGTGCTTAACTTGGACGAGTTATCATCGTTATTTTTTTAAAGAGAAGTTTAATATCCTCCTTCTCACAGTTTGACGGTTCTGTGGCTGAAATTAAAAGCGTCCAAGAAAAGGGGCGTGTGCTCGCGTGTGTGTGTGTGTGTGTGTGTGTGTGTGTGTGTTCGGGAGGGGCCGGCGTGGTGGTTGGTGGTGTTCTGGCTGCTTACTATTAACACACTTCATAAATCTGCCATAATAGTTGAGGTGCAAAGAATGATCACAACCTTTGATCTGATTAAATTCCGAGTGCTTCAGCGGAGCAAACAAGCGGATCTTCTCCAACCGACCAAAAAAATAATAATAATAATCGAAGGCATGTAATTCATTTGGTACTTAATAGGCAATGTGTGAATTGTTTTTGGTTTCTCAATCCTTGCAAGTCCTCACTTCTGTAGGATCTTAAGTCATAAACTCAGTGCTTTATTAAAAAAAAACATTTATTCTGTCCCTCTTGAAAGGTAGAACGTATAACTTAAGCCCAATGATGCCCTTTTTCTTTCATATATGTATCTTGCGAGTCCTAAGAATCCCTTTCAAGTGCATATTCTCTGTCTTCTTTATGTGTGTATCTCTGTCTCTGTCTCTGCCTCAGACTTTCTCTGTGTCTCTGTCTCTGTGTGTCTCTCAATAACATTAAATCGAAAAGTATTCTTTAGGCATTGCATTGGTGTCCCAGGTTTAAGAGAATAAGATCACTTTCCTAAAGAGCTTCCTAGTTTGCTAGCCCGGCTTACCAAAAGTATGTCCAAGTTGGTCAGAAGTGCAGTGATCTATCTTCCTTCCATCACCCTAGTACGAATTATCAAGCCATAGAGTGCCGGCGCTAGGAAAAACCTGAAAGATCATTTTACACGGGAGCAAACTGAATTATTGCTTGTGGCAAGCAAGGAAATTGTTCCGTAAGACATGTCTTTTAAGAAGGCTGCTGAGCCTAAAGTTAAAATGATGCTCTAAGAGGTAGCCAAATGCATCTACTCCCAAGAAATGTAGGGCAATTGCCTGGAACTCGGACAATTCTTTTCCGCCACTGTACCCAGTGCTTTTTGGGGGAGTGTGAAACGTCGAACAATTTTCTCCAAAACTTACCTGCATGTCAGCCCACCTCCGGGTGGAGGGGCGGGGGGGGGGGGGGAGAAGAGACATATGTTGATGTACTTCGCGTGATTACTAAGTAAATGAGATAGTCTGAGTAAGATTCCCCCTCCCTTCACCCTCCCCATCCGTCCACCCAGTTGCCCGCAACACCCTACTCTTCGATCTACTTCTCGGTGCCTTCTTTCCTTAAGTCTGAGGAGCGCTTGGCCTCTCAGGGGGCTCGATCAGTTCTGGGAAGAAGAAGAAAATGGGAGGAAAAAAAAAAAAGACTCGAGTCCAAGAAGAGCAAGTCTAAGAGGGAGCTACCCGCAC